CAAGAGTGCCCAGCGCATCAAATATAGAGTTAGATTTGGTGTTGGAGTGTAGCCAGACCAAAGATCAGTTTGAATCAAGAATTCTTGCTGACCATCCAGATGAAAAAACAGTTTCTTGATAGCATAGATGATGGCAGCGCACTCCTTTTCAGTAGTACAATACTTCTTTTGAAATTTAGTAAATTTTTTGCTTATATACAAGATAGGATGTTCAAGTTGTTCATCATCTAATTGGCATAGTAATACCCATGCCATAGTCTGAGGCATCGGTTTGTATAGTAAACCTTTTATCAAAGTCGGGAGCATGCAGAATTGATTTCTTGCATAGCAACTTTTTTAAATTTTTAAAAGCTTTGTCACATATTTCAGACCATTGTGTATTTCCTTTTTCGGTTACCACCTTCAAAGCGTCCGTGAAGGGTGAAGCAATTTCCGAAAATCTCGGTATGTATTGGCGATAATATAATACTCTACTAGTCCTAAAAAAAGCAACGTTCTTCTGTTTTGGTCTTAGGTGTAGGATACTCCTTTACACCCAGGATCTTTACTTCATCCGGGGTTCGTTGTCCTTGTCCCACAACATGGCCTAGGTATCTCACTTGATCTTGTGCAATTACATTTGATGGTTTTTACTCGTAAGTTTGCTTTTGTATTCTTCTAGAACAGAAATTAAATTTTTAAGTGCTTCCCAGTTTTCTGAGTAAATGGCAATATCATCCAGGTATGGTACAGCGAATCCTTCAATCCAGCCAGGACTTTGTCATAACTTTGCTAACAAAACATGGGCATTTTTTAATCCAAAGGTAAACGTAGAGGCCTAAACTTCCAAACTAGTTACAAATACTGCATATTTGGGCTCTTTTGTTAACGGAATTTGCCAGAGCTCTAGATAATAATAGGTAATATATTTTGCTTTTGCTACAGTTCGATACGTTTTTCAATATTAGGTAAAGGATAGTTATTCAGTTTAGTAACAGCATGAGTTTACATAATCAGTACAAGGCAAGGATCCTTTGAGGAAGATTCTATCAAAATCATGGAGATGTATAGTTCCAGCCTCCCGGCTCTATAATTTTAAGTCGAGCATTTTCTGAATTTTCTTTTTTGAGAATTTCAGTCTGTCGGGGTGACAGGTCTGGCTTCATGTATTGGTTCGTTTTTATAGTCAATATCGTGACAAACAAGTTTGTTAGTCCAGGATTATTTGAAAAACAACCAAATATTTCCATAAAACCTTTCGTAATCTTTATTTGCTCGGGTTTCAACCTTTCTTCGAGTTCGTTCTCCTCTATGATGTCCGAGAAATTTAATATACTTGGATGGAAGGTAAAGAGTATGTCCATTCTAAGTATCCTCCACTCACTTATCATATAATCATTCTGGTCTTTGTATATGGTTTTAAGCATGTTAATGTGATTACTTGATTTGGCTCATTTGTTTCTCGAACTTACAATATAATGGTTTCTAAATTTTGCTCTATTTTTCCAGGTCCTTCCATGTACTTCTAGTTTATTTTGACGATTCGTTAAAAAACAAGAACTAATATCCTCTAGCAAATTCTATTTTCACTGCGTTTCGATCGATCATGTTTTCCGCCGTTGTTGAGCTTCTTTCGTGTTTCACGGCAAGTTCTTGGCATTACTTCATTCGATTAATAAGTTCGATAACGTAACTGACAACATTATTACTTTCTTCAGTCGGTTCTAGCCACTGCTCATAAAGTAAATTGACTGCCGTTCGTAACTTTTTTGCCATGAACCAGTTCTGCTGATGTAAAACCAGTGCTTTCGTGTGTGACTGTTCTAAGGGCAAAAAGAAGTGATGGTAGATAGTTCTACCAATCAGAAGTCGCTCCTATAGATACGACTCTTAACATTCTTTTTAGCGTTCTATGGAATCGTTCAACGGGATTACTCTGCGGATGATACACAGAGTTTCTTACATGTTTAATGCCTATACGCTCCAAAAATTCCTTTGTCAAAGCATTGAAAACTTGTAAGAAAGCATCAGTCACAGATGGCGAAGAAATGTCTGTCACCTCAACAGCATCTGGATATTTGGACAGAGCTGTAATTATATATTTTTTTCCAGTCTTTGAAATAGGTAGCGGACCAACAGCATCGACATTTATTTTAGTGAATATTTCGGAAATGATTGGTACTAATGTCATTGGAGCCTTTTTTGTCATTTCCTTTTCCGTGCGCAGGGACAAGCCACAGGCTTTTACAAAATCTTCGGTTCTTTGTAACACTCGTCCATAAAAATCTTAGCAAAGTCTGTCTTGGTCTTTTTGACACCCAAATGACCAGAAAGAAGTTCCTTCGTGGCACATCTCTATAATTGACGGCTTGAGTTTTTTAGGTATAACTACAAGCTGTGTTTCAGAGCCAATTTTGTCCGTCGTTTTTTTAACCTCTTTTCTTGTCAGACTATAATTCTCGTTTTTGCATGTACATTCTTTATCTTCTTGGATGATTTTAGACAGTTCCTTATCAGTAAGCTGAAGTTGTGCAACTTCTTTTGAGTCAATGTTTATCAATTTCATGAGAGCTTCATCTTTCGTATTTAGTTCCGGTAATTTAACTTCTTCTTCAAAGACATCTCTGGATGCTTTATTTTCTTCCTTCATTGGTTCCAAAATCTTCTCTTCAGCTATTTCTCTTTTCTTTTGAACTCTAATAGAGACAGCATTAACCTGGTGAGGACAACTATCAGGCTCCTTTCCTTGTTTATTCAATAGTGCAAAAGTTCGATTGCCTAATAAATAAATACCTTCCTTTGTCGAGTTCATTTCTAATAATGGCAGCATTAGTTATTACTCGTCCAAGCTCGCAATCTAGTTCGACCTCAAGCCTAATGGTAAACAGGTTGGATTCCAATCTAATGGCTGTTATACCCACACGTATTTTCACCTGTCAGCATTTCCGTGATGATGTATTTGCGACAAACTGTATCAATATTAGCACCTGAATCCCTTAATATAGGAATTTTATGACCATTCACGTAACCCAAACTAGTATAAGGTATTTAAGACCTCATTGTCTAAAACTTAAGAATAGTACTGAATCTTCTGCTAATCTTAAAAGACTTAGTGCAAAACCAGAGGATAAATTTCTATTAAGTCTTTTAAGATTAGCATAAGATTCAGTACTATTCTTAAGTTTTAGACATTGAGGTCTTAAATGTTGATAGAATCAACCCTGATAACATTGTGGCGTCTTTCGTTTTTCATATTTATCATCTATACGTGGACTTCTAGGTCTGTGGAATCAGCTTTGCGAATTAAATCCTGATGACAATTTTTTTTTCAGTTTCAGTTTTATTTTTATTATCTGAACTCAATTACCTTGAGTTAGTGCATGTACTTCTTTCGCCGATCCACTACAGGCTTTTTTTGAAAGTTTCCGCAAACGTTTTCAAGGCATCAAGTTTTAAGCTAATTTTTTAGATGAAATCATCTCTACCATTCATCAAGAAAATGATCTCGAATTTCAGGAGAAACTCGACGTTTAAGTTGGTCAAGCACCATCAAATCTAGCAACTGATCAAAAGTCTCAACTCCTAGACCAGTTACCCATTCTTTGCAATAATTTTCTATTTCGTAGTTGAAATCCATCCATGTGGATTCGGTACCTTTTTGATGTTTCATAAATTTCTGCCTAAACTTTTCCGGGCTTAGCTGAAACCGGTTTAACAATGAATTCTTCACGTGTTCAGTCTTTAGCTTTATCTGAGGGTTCTCTAGCTATTAACTGTGTTACTTCATAAGGAAGTAGTCCTAGTAAATGAGCGATACAAATTCTTCTTATCCAATTTGAGCCCAATCTGTTGTCTTTCAAACACTATAAGCAAAATATAGACTGATATCTCCTTTTCTTGTCATCGAATTTCTGCATAAGGTGACGCAGCTTCGTTTTCGGCCGGATTTGCCGGGGCAGTTTGAGACTTGTCTCTGCTTCAGTCTTCTCTGTAATTCATACTGTTCGTTCCTTCTCCGCTCTTCTGCTTCTTCCTGTCTCCTACGTTCTTCTCTTTCTTCCCTCTCTTACCCTTTCCTCCCTCTCTTTCCGTTCTTCTATTATTGTGTCTAAAACTCCTTTGACAAATACTTCATCATAATCGCTGCTTTCAATAATTTTCTGTTTTAAATCGACTATTTTCAAATCTGCAGTCACATGAACTCCCAGTTCAGCCACAAGATTTTGTAAATCTTCCTTACGAGCTCTTCCTAAGTAAGATATTGTTTATACTTCCTCAAAATAACTCAAATCAAATACTTTAATTAATCTAGACAACTAAAATGAATATTAAAAATAATATCCAATACGGTAATAAAATAAGACAATCCAATAATAGCGAAAGTAATAATCTGGTATCACTAATTTTAGAAACAGATAGTTTCAGTGATAACTAATAACATAAGGCAATTCAATATTAACAAGAAGTAATAATCCGGTATCACTAATATTAGGCTCAGGGATGAACTAATAAAATAAAAATACGCACGATTATTCAATCTCAGTCGGTGCCTCCAAAATAATTAAGACTGTAATACTTCTTTAACAATTTGAAGTAAACTCCAATGATGGAACACAGCAATAACTTTTATTTTGCATTAAAAAATGGCGACATGCAAACAAGAGAAGAAAAATTATATAAACTTAGTTAAAAAAAATAATTGCATGCTTTCTGCCAGAAAATGCATTCGGCTCTGGAGCCTGCATTTCAGTATTGCCATTAATCTCTACATTATTTATTATTCATCTATTTCAAATGCACGAGAGATTAATAACGATATTAAAGCTGTTACATCCTGAACATGGTACACCTGTTATACACCCATCTTCAGAACTATCAAACATAAACTTTATGGTCATCCTTTTATGTTGTAATTCCTTTAAGAATGTTGAAGAGAGATTTCAGATAATGCTGTTGAATAAAACTGTTGATGAAATATATAAGAAGTAATATACATTTTTTTTGTTTGTTTTTTAGCTTTTATCTTTCATATGGAAACAGTTCATTACACTGACAACATGAGCTATGGATCTGGCTCACAGGGACCAAGTGCAGACTACTGTCATCTTATGGCAGAACTTAGTAAGTGCTACTTGTACTCAATAATTATTGTTTCAGGATGTTTTCTAATCATTGTGGATAAAACGTAATTTATGATTTTTTTTTTTTTACTTTTATTCAGAAGCTCAAAATTTTGACGTGATGAAATTCTCTTCCTATCGTACAGCATGTAAACTCAGGTTCATCCAAAAACGAATAAGTTGTAAGTAAATAATATTTTTTTTTCATTATTAACTTGTAACTAAAAATAAGGTAATAAAAATAATATTTTCTTATATAATGTTTTTAAACATTTCGAAGAGGTGTTGCTTGTTTTCACTAAACTGATTTCGTATTCTGGTAAAATAAAAACCTTTGCAACGTTATGGAAATATTTGTGTCAAGGCTGTGGGCAACCAATCCAATGAAATAAATACGCAAATTATGTCTAGAATAATTGAGTGCATAAATTTCGCATAAATAATACAATAGCAATTTTTTCTATCATTTGACATTGTTGTTTTAAACATATAATTTTTTATTCTACATCTTAAACTTCTGTAGGATTAATTCTTAAACTGGTAGACTAAGTATGAACTAAGCTTATTTGACAGGAATCTGCATGCAAAGTTTAGAATATGAATAAAATATCTATTTACCCTTTTCGGTACTTTTCCGTTTTGCCGGCGCAAGCCATAAAGTCGCCAATAATGGTACAACCGATGCCAAACGGAATATTCTCGCTGGTAACCTTTTACGCCTCATTTTCAAAACAAGTCACAGCTTTTTCTTATCAGATTGATTGTTTCTTTCAATACTGGCATATAATTACATAGAATTTTTATCAGATAGTTCAGTTTTATGTCTAAGGCCATTTTCGGTAATTAAGTCAATTAGGATGCAATCACAGCACTTACCCGAAGCCGAAAATATAGAAAAGGAAAGTCAAGGGTTAAATTCATCAATTCTAATGAGAATGCATTAGCGAAGTAAAGCACTGCAGTTTTACATAATTTCTGAGTAAGCTATTCGTACGAATTGAAATATTCTTGCATTTAAACTTGTGTTCCAAATTAAGATTTAACTTGAAATTAATGTAGATAATTACTGAGCATTAGATTTTTGTAGAGTAGTTTACGTGAGATGAGATCGCTTGGGGTCACGTGATATGAGATGAACCGGCGAATCAGGATGTTGAACCATGAAAGCATAGTAAATTCTTAAATTAATGTCTTTTTACAAATTTACTGTCTTTATTTATTGGCTTTTTATAAAATTTTAAGCGATATTAAAATGTTTATGCCTTCAAAAAAAGAATTCTTAGAACTAACATTTTTTTAAATATTTTTTATGTGTATACTGTATGTTGTCGCCAATAAAGTCTGCTTGTCGAGATTTGCGCCGGCCAAACGGAAAAGTACCAACTTTTCATATATAATAATATGTATAAAATTTTTAGATATGTAATACTCTTTTCAAAAAGTGTAGAAAGACTTTTATATATATAAGCTTATTTTTTTAAGCTTTATTAAAAGAATTTCATCCTTGTGATTTTTTTAATTAAAAATTCTGAGTTTTTTGACTGTTATGGTTAATTTTCAAAAAGCAATTATTTATTTATTTGTAATCTCAAATTTTCAGATTTCAATTTTATCTTTTATTCATTTATTTTAAGAATTTGTTAAAGTGCATGATACTTTTTCTAAGTTTTTATTATATCAGCAATATTATTGCATTCAGAAGGAATTACCAATTGAGTTGAAATTTTATATATAACTCTGTTACTTATAATACTGTACAGTATGCTAAAATCGAGTGGCAAAACTCCAGATATCCCATCTAACTGAGACCACAGCTTGTCGAGATATTTAAACAATTCTGACAATTTACTGTCATTTTCTATAAACCAAATATTATAAAAGCAATTAACTTATTTTTTATTCATGTCACTATTTTTACAGTGATTAAACTAATTGCCAAAAAGTAAACATGTGATCTTTCTTTTATTTTTACTGTACTAACATTAAGCAAAAAAAAAAAAAAAAAAATATTTTTCATTAACATGGAACTAAACATATATCCTCATGTAATTAAAATGAAATTGAAAAAATATTAAAAATTAATGAAAATTAATATTAAGGTAATTATAATTAATGTAAGGTAAGAAATATGTAATTCAAAATTAAAACTTTAATTTGAAGTATCCATTTAACTCTCCAATTTAATTTGTTTTTTGTCCAAAAATATTGATTGCTTATTATAAATTTAAGACAGAATCATTTCAAAATTACTATTCTTCATATGATTCTTACAAAATGCTCATGAAACAGATAAACTTCAGCCAATAATAATTTCAGATTTGCATATCAAAACTTAAATAATCTGTAAGAAAAAGCTGAACCCAGACACTAAATTGTTTTGAACAGGCTTTTCATCTTCGATACATCACATTCTTCTGCTGCTTTGGCTTACTTGCCAACTGCTCTTTTTTCCATCAAAATTCATTGTTCTAAAGATACAGAAAGGGCATACATGTGACCAGCAATGGACATGCAGATTGCACCCATTGCCTGTATAATTTAGGTTAAAAATGTGCTTCTCAAGAATAAAATAGTGTTAAATCGTTACAACTGCTAACATTCTGTTATGCACCATACTCTGTCACTCTGTAAATCATGTTCACTGCCAGGTCAACAATTTCTGAATTATTACATACACATTATTAAATTTTTCTAGTTTTAGCTCATTATAAATGTTTGATTTGAATGAAATATGTATGACAAGCTTCAATTTGCTTTGTTTAGAAGCATTAATAAGCAATTTTCATTATTGATATTCCAAGAATCTAGAATCTGAGTAACTAAAGTTCTAGGATATTATGATTATTGAATTAAGCTCCTTGTATTTTTACTTTTTTTGGATACTAATAGGATTTTTTATTGTACACATTGTATCTCACTATCTTTACTTTATAATTAAAATAAATGCCTAATTTATTTCCCTTTAAAGTTTTTTGAGTATTAAATATACTTAAAAAATTTGTAGTGTTCCTCCCTTTTATTCTACTAAACTAAGTATTGAGAAACCTAGTGATCTACTAAGTGAATAATCGCTTAAGTCGAAGAACAGAAATGTAAACTCAAGAAGGGTTAATTTATTTATTTGCTCCTTTATTGGCTCCAAATAAAGCTATACAGTTGTCTCCTTTCTCAGAGCATACAACAAAGCCTCCGCTTGGGCTTAAACACAAAATTTAAGAAATAACTAATGACTAACTAAATAGATTTAGGCAAAGCTAACATAGTTCTGAACTAGTTAACCTGTAATATTAAATTAGCCAGCGGAGCTATCAAAAGGCACGTAATATGGCCGAGCATAGTAAAAGCTAGAGAGACGTAGCCAAAAGGCAAATGCGCGCTGTTCAGGCATCCTAACTCTCATTCTCGAAGTCAATGGAACTTAAATACTTTCTACTTCTCATTTGCATTTAACATGATTCTAAAAACTCATTCTTATGAGGAATAGTAAGCTGAAGCTATAAGAAATAGGAAAGGTTCATAAACTTAAAATAACTGTAATAAAATTAGGATATACCTTACAAATTAAATACAAATTTTAATTATAATTAAGGATTTAAAGTATTTAAATGAAAATAATAGTTATACTTTCTAGAAATTCATGCATTTTATGATTCATTTATTAACTGAAATTTAGTTTATTAAAATTTTCTTACCTTGTTTTGCGTATTATACTCTTATTAAAATACTCAGCTAGTACATATTTCATTGATATATAAATTCAAATATTTAGAATATTTAGATTACTATTTAAAATATTTAAATATAGTATAAAACTATTAAATAAAACTAATTTATAATGTATAAAATTGTTAAAAAAATTTGGATGAAGCTAAACTACACTCATGTCCATAAATTAAGGATAATGCAAAATCAGGCAAAGGAAGAGTTAGAAGCAAAACAAATTTGACTTATTTGTAAATCTTATTTATTAAACAAAAGGTAAAGAGCAAAAAAAAGATGCTATATGTTTGATATTATTAAAAAAATTAGCGATTTTTTTCTCCCTGGAGCAAATTACAAAAAAAAAAAAAAAAAAACCTATTTACAAAAAACCAATATAACATGGTTGGTATGATTGTTAATACATTGTATGTCTCCCAGACGATGCAATACAGTCCGTACAATGCCTAGGCATGCTGAATATCAAATTATCGATCTGATCTTGGGGGATATTACACCACTCAAAAAGCAATGCTCACCGAAGTTCCGGTGTTTCTTGGTGGTTCTCGTACCTGGAGCTCTCCATATGAAAGTCCGGCGAGAATCAGACTGCAAGCTAAACCTGGACTCATCGGAAAACATCACACAAGCCCACTGTTGCGGTGTCCACAATGCATGCTCTCTACTGCAGACTAACCGCAGGCGACAGTGAGTTGCAGTAAGTGGAACGCATCTGACAGGTCTACAAGCATATTGACCAATCTGCCCTAAGCATCTGTACACGGTCTGCCTTGAAATTGTCATACCAGTGGCTGAAGAGAGCTGACGAGACAGATCTGAGGCTGTGCTTCGCCTGTTTCTTTTGGCAGTAACTGCCAAATACCGGTCCTCATTCGGCATCGTAACTCTCGGGCGACCTGTGCTGTAACGTCTACTCACATTACCATCATCTTGGAATCGTTGCCAAAGCTTGGAGATGACACTCTGGGCAATTCCAAGTTCATCTGATACTTCCAGTTGGGTACGCCCACATTCCAGACGGCCAATAATTCTACCACGTAAAAAATCATCCAAATGCATCCTTTGTGTCATAACTATTCGGTTATTGCACTGAAATGCTTATAAAGCGCCTGCGAACAATTTTACGTCTTTGCCTGTATTCCTTATAAATCACTCTCTTACGCTCTCGTCATTGTGACGTACCATCGGTGTCATCTGGTTACTTCCTGAAATTTGCATATGATTCTTGAAGATGTGTGTAGTGATTTTACAGGTGATATATTTATTTTAGAGTTTGATTTCCGTGCGACTCCAAATTATTCTTAATTTATGGACATGAGTGTATTAAAATCAAATTAATTTATAAAAAATGTCAAAGTATTAAAAATATTTAGGTGAAAATAATAGTTATGCTGTCTAAAGATTTATGCATTTCATGCTTCATTTATTGATTCTAATTTAATTTCTTAAAGTTTTCTTACCTTATTTGACTTGGTATATTCTTGTTAAAGGACTCAGCCAATACACATTCTATTGGTTTACAAACTCAGTGTGTATTTTAATAATATTTTTATCATTATTATCCCATTTGTTTATTTTAAAATTCTTTTAAGTTTATTTATTGATATTCAACATGGAAAAATTTTCTTTTTGCAGTGCATTTGGTAGATATATGGAATGTGATTGAAGCCTTCCGTGAAAATGGTTTGAACTCCTTAGAACCTCGAATGGAGATAAGCATTCCCCGTCTAGAAACCCTAGTAACCTCAATTTATTTTCAACTTAATAAGCGCCTTCCATCTACCCAACAGATAGACTTAGACCAATGTACTACATTATTGCTCAACTGGCTAATGTCTGCATATGATCCGTAAATATTCCATTTTCTATATTATCCTTGCTAACTGTTATATCTATACAATCATCTTTTCCAATAGCTTTTGTGCATATTGTATAATGTTAGTTTGGAAATTTTCTTTTTTCAGTTGGCTTAATTTGAAATTATACATAAAAAACCTTCACTTTTTCTTCACTTTTTGCTTTTTTTTAGGCAAAACTTGAGTAAAATGCTTATAAAAAAAATCTTTTTTGGAATTTTGTAAAAGTTGTATTACCCTGAAATCTCAGAAAATGTCCAACACCAGATATGTGAAAAATTTTTATGGTTGAGTATCTAAAAAATTCAGCTCGTGGAAGAAATGCCTAATTTATAAAAAAAAAATTCCAATCTAATCATGTGAAAATGAAAAGAAGCATTTCTGACATAAAAGCGATGTGTTTTGTCTTCCTTAAATGTATGAACGGAAACCATCTTATCCAATTACGAAATCCCATTGACCATGTAAATTGATCAGAGATTCTCCAAATTTGCCTTCTGCGAGAATGAGAATAATTAGTTTATAGTCTTTCATGGTACTTTAGAATAGGCACTTCATGGTCATTTTTCTATCAGGCTTACCTTATAACCATGATAATGACAGCTGCACTGATGGACAAGTGGCATAATTTTTTTCCTCACTTTGCATTTAAAGTGGGGAAGCACCATTTAAATCTCATTTTCTGTGTATCTGTGATCATTTAAATGTATTTTTGAATATTAACTCATTTTTATCTGAAAAACATGTTTTGACTGTACAAAACTTCCCCATTATTTCAAATATTCCTTTTTAATTTTTAAACATACTTTTTTCTTTTAAAAAGAATAAATTGATGTGTAATGATATTTTGTTATTATAGGGAAGATACTGGGAAAGTAAGAGTGTTTTCCATTAAAATTGCCTTAGCGACAATGTGCTCTGGGAAACTGATGGACAAATTGCGATGTAAGATTCTTTCTTATATAAAACTTTTGTTCATAAGGGCAAATTTATGTATTCAAACTTTCTATCCTTAGTATTTGATAGTTATATTTCTGTTTTTTTAAAGCTGTTTCCTTTTTATTATATCATTTTGAAAATAATTAAATCTCATAAAAATCATTTTGTCTTTTCCCAGATATCTTTTCATTAATTTGTGATAATAATGGTCTTTTGGTGCAGAGTAAATTTGCTGACTTCTTAAGAGAAATTTTACAAGTTCCGTGCTCAGTACATGAGTCTCCAACGTTTGGATATCGTGATAATCTACCCACTTCAATTATTGATGGGGTATTTTGTTAACTTTTATTATTTTCTTATTCATATAAAAAAGATAATATTTTTTTTTTCCTTCAATAAGGCTATAAAAGAATTAACCTCTTTTACATAAGAGAGCTATAAAAATATTGTTAATATATTTTTTTCTGAAATTAGTACTGAACCAGTAATACTTAGAAAAAGTATTTTGACTGTAGCATGCAAAATCTTGATTGTTGTTTAATTTTTCTAGCAAAGTAAAGTTACAGTTAATGACTTTCTGGATATCATTATGTCTGATCCTGCTCCACCCTGTCTTGTTTGGTTGCCTTTACTACATAGGCTTGCAAGTGTTGAAAATGGTAATATATATTCACTTTTTTCATTTAAGCATCGAAGCAATTTGAAATTTGCTAATTTCCTAAAACTTTTAAGATTCTGCTTTTTGTGATTTTTTTAATTATTAATTTATTTTCATTTATTTATTTATTTTTGAACCATACTGCATTTTTCTCACTAGATATAATTAACTTCGTTAAGGAGGAGCACTAAAAATTTTTGATTATATATCCGATGTAGTATTAAATTAAATTGCTTCTTTTTCAAATAAATAGGACCTCTAATAGCATTACAAGAAAAGTATCTTATTTGTATAGAAAAGGGAAAAAAACACTAGATTCTGAATACCGTAGCAGATTTAACATTACCCATGCTGTGCCATGGGGAGACCTGCTACTCTACACTCCCCTAAAAAAGATCTTTTTGGTTATATGATGATTACATGCATATGAATAGGAAAAAAAAGTAATTTGGGTATATGATATTTACATTATTTACATTTCGTATTTATACTTTCATCTATTTTTTCATGGTGGTACTCTTTTCAAAGAAAGTGACACCACCTTTGAAAACTCGCAACTCAATATTGCATGTTTTGCACATGTACCAGGATCCGTATCAGATTCACTATCTGAAAGCAATACATGTAGCACTTTCAGTGCTTCAAAAATAGTCAGCTCTCTCCGATCCATTTCAAATATAATTATATAGCCGAAAAAATAAACTAATATTATATCTACAATTTGAAATTATAAACTGTAGAATAAAATTAAATAAATGTCTGCAACTCAAACTTAGCGCTAATAAAACTTCTTTGAACAAAAGCAAAAGAGAAAAAGACAACTGCTCTAGTGATAAACCAAACAGCTAACTGATAAAATTACCCCTGACCTTCAGAAAATCACCCCAACAATTTCTTAGTTGATAACCAAATGTGCCCCCCCCCCCCCAAAGAAAGAAAAAAAAAACAAGAAATGAAACACATTTGGACCCACCTTTCTATTGTGAATGAGCTACAGAGAAACAAAGATACAGTCTCTCAGTTGACCTAGTCTTTCAGTGAGCCCAGTCTGGGCACACCTGATGTTCGCCGTTTGATTTTAGGCAAATTTTCATGGTAAAAATTTAAAACTAATATAGAATAAGGAGATTAGGATACAGCCAAGAAAATAACATAGACATTTCTTTTCAAACAATTCTTTTATATCCTAAAAAAATCTGGAAGATTTCTTTGAAAAATGAGGGTCTTTAAAAACTAAACATGGCTAAAACATATGGATTGGTTTGTGTTGAGCTGCCATCTACTATAAATAAAGAAGATTTTTTAATAGGAAAAAATTTTAATAGGAATTTTAATAGGAATAAAGAAGATCCATTTTCATTCAATTTTTCTGTGTGTACAGAAGGAAATTTTTAGGTGTGGCCAGATCGCCACAAAGGGTTAAATCAGACTTTAAAAATAAATGCACAGAAACAATATTCAATTTTCCAATAAATGTAATTCTAATTTCCATTTGTTAATATAATTTTCGAAACATTTGGTGTTCATCAGCATGCCTTTATGGAAATTCAGGCTACACCCCTGATTATGAGTAACAATTAAAACACTATTAACATCTCGCTGATACAATTATTTCGTTCACATTGAAAAACTATATAAAAAGTATAAAAATCTTAGCTTTTTGTACAGAAAGCTTAACATTTCCGTATCACTGAAAAAGAACCTCACAAAAAGCAAGAACAAACCCCGGCAAAGGCACAGCAAATATCAATAAACTGAAAGTGTTATGCATCCAATTTTTAACTATTGTGAATATAATAATCATCGCTTACTCAGCAATGGCGCCATCAATCAGCAGTTAGACAAAACAAAAAAACTTCCAGTGATGCAATTATAAACAAGAATGCAGATGGTTCTCATTAAAATCCTTCAAGTCGCCTATTGACACGGAGAAAAACTGTGTTATTAATGACTACTATAGCATATGTTTGTAATTCAAAAGGAAAGAGAATGCCAGTTTGCACTATTATTGATAGCAGCAGTATGTTGATGGATGTCAACTCTCACTTTCAAATGTCGCTAGATACACCTGCAAAAGTAGCTAAAAGTCGCTAAATTCAGAAGGAATTTCGCTGAAAGTAGTAGCTAAAATTTAAAAAAAAAAAAAAAAAGAGTATAATCCATATTCCATAATAGGTTTTGTTGCTCATCATTTTTTAACTGAATCTTCATAAAAATATAAATAATGTCCCAATTTTTCTGCGAATCATCAAAAAGTTGTCACGGATCACCAATTGGGGACCTCTTGGGCAGAGCACTGTGCTTCTTGAATGTCATAGTCCTTGTTTATGAACTTTCGGCATTAAACCTTCACAGTGTCATATTACATTAGTACCTAAATTTTTATACATAATTTGGTGACATTCTGTAGCTGACTTGTCGCAACAGAACTGGAAGTGCACAATTGTTCTAATCTGATAGCGGGATAGTTCCATTTCAGACTCGTGTACTTAATGATAATCATTTTTTTTTTTTTTTACAAATTTCACAATACAGTGCTCTGAAGCAAATCTTTCCTTCAAATGCCAAAAATTATTTGACAAAATATTATTGAAAAGCTGCATTATGTAAATGCGAACTGTTTGCGCAGACGATATTTACAGTGGTGGGAAACTTTAGTTAAAACTCGAAATGTATGTATTCTGTCTGTTCTTAACATCATTTTTATTGTTTCAAAGTTTAATCTGTAATGAAAACAGATCATATGAAAGAATAGTGCATGTGCATTAAGTGTTTGTACAAACTTAGCAAAAGTGTTTCAGAAACACATGAAGTGCTTAAGGAAGCTTCTGTCATTAAAGCACTTTTGACAGAATGATAATCAGCTGAAAAACTCCAGCAAAAGAAATAAATTCTACAACATGCTTCTCACATCTCAACTGCTGTGTGAATAATTTTTGGCCTGCAGGACTTTCTTTGACCCTCTCCTCATTCATCAAATTTATGTCTTAGCTGCTTCTGTGTCTTTTCTAAAATGAAAGTGAAACTGTAAGGGAAAAGATTTAGAACTGTAAATAACGTTCATGGAGAAATACAAGTAGTACTGTTTGTTCTTACAAGAGGTGATTTTTTAAGATGTTTCTATTCATAACTGATTATTATGACTCAGAAGGAAAAACAAGTGATAAAATTAATACTGTATTTTATTGAATTTGTACCGAAAATTTATTTTTCAAACTCATGCACCAAAAATTACTTTTTTTCTTTTTCCAGTTTTACATCCTGTTCAGTGTGATGGTTGCAATCGAGAAGCATTTCTAGGTTTTAGGTATAGATGCCAAAAATGTTACAACTATCAACTATGTCAAGATTGTTTCTGGCGAGGGCGTGTTTCTGGGAGTCATACTAGTCAGCATGAAATGAAAGAATACACATATTATGTTAGTTTATTCTTTTTATTTTCAAATCTTTTATATTCTGCATCTATTATGATTTATATTTCCAAATTTCTAAATATGTTTTGTAATAACATAAATATAATATATAGAATATAATTTGTTTATTCTTTCAGAAATCACCAAGCAAGCAATTAGGGCACTCTTTAAAAAAGTCCTTCCGTTGCGTGCCAGAAAAACAGATAAGTGACATTCCCAGATTTCCTGAAGAACCAGAAAAAACTCTAAATTTGCAACACATTGTGTATGTAAAGCTTTCTTATCCTAATAAATATTATTGCCATCATGAAACATAATGTAGTAGTAATACAGGGCACGGCTCATTTTGTAGATTGCTGGGGCTGTCATCTTAGCCCATGGCACTATTTGAATAGGCTTTATCATTGACACAACCAGAAGTGTTTGGTTTAAAAAAAATTTTTTTTACAAATCAATGTAGTTAATTAAGCCAAACTTTTTTCTGAAATTATTTATCTTGGCATGTTCTTCTGTATTAGTTTCAATATTTAATGAGGCATTATCATACCTTAATACAAGTTTTTATATATCCTCCTGTTCCTTTAAGTAAATTTCTTTTTATTTTATTGTTTCTATTTATCCACAGAGTTTAAAATTGTTAAAAGGCAAAAGAGTTAGAGTAGAGTTAAGTCATGCCAAGTGGCAGAATTTAGAAGCAGCAGCAGACTTTTTGGAATTTATGGAAGCCTTGAGTAGCAATATTTAGAGATGGCAAAATTTTTAGAATTTAGGGAAGGTCTTGGGTAGCAAAATTTTTAGAATTTAAGAAGGCACCCAATAGAAGAATGAGGACCCATAAAATTGAAATAGGTGGCAAAATGCCTAGCACCAGCACTGGGCAAACTTTAGAATAGAATAGCATGCAAATTAATTTAATTCTTAATTCATTTGTTGATTATATTCATAAATATCAAATAGAGTAGAATAGTATTGAAATTATATTGAAGGTCTTTCCTATGTTTGAGAATGAGGAAAAAATGATAAAAATAATTTCTTTAAACTAAAAGCAAAAGCTAAAATAAGGACATTTTGAGCTAAATAAGGAAAATGGTTATTGTAGAGATAAAGCAGTCATTCTAAAATCAGTTTAGCAAATCTCTTAATGTCACTTGGTTGCATTGTAATGGAAGGTTCTAATTTGTAATCAGTGCTAGTTTTCAAAAGGTGTTCTGTAATAATTATTCAAAAGTAACAAGGGAATTGCAGAATTTCATCCTGTTTTTAGGATATTCTTAAGAAACGTGAATATTAAAAAAAATATGGTGTATCTGGTCATACCTATAAAAGATTACAATTTTTTAACTTTATTGATATACAGTTTTAGTTTTATATAAATATCATATTACATGTCTGAAGCTCTTAAATTCCTTACTTTTAAGGCCTCCTTCACCAATACCGAGTCATAATGGCTTTCATGATGCTGCAAATAATTCCTTTGATATGTCTTCAATAGATGGAAGGTCTACAACAAGGAGGTAAAAAGAATTTTTCTAAAAAGTTTCATTTTTAGCTTTAAATTTAAAGTTTTAAAAAAATTATTGCAATTAAAATGTTTTTTATTACAATTCTAGCTTAGAATCCAGTCGTGGAGATGATGAACACAGACTAATTGCTAGATACGCTGCACGCTTAGCTGATACTAGAAGTACTGTATGTATCTTTTTGTATGTTTCATTCTGTGTTTCTTTTTTGTGTGTTTTTCTGTGTTCCTGTTGATGTTTGTTTTTAATGTATAATTTTTGAACATTAAAGAATATCAACTTTCCCTTTCAAAATTTGCTGCAATTATATATGTTATATGTAATTATTATTATGCAAAGAGTGATGGTTACTGCATTTTTAGTTATTATTTTAGATAATGCATGAGAGAAATTGAAATTACTAATCAGTGGCATAGCAGGGGGGGCAATGGGGTGTATTATGCCCCCGGGCACTGCTCGCAGAGGGGCGCCAAATAATCTCCAAACAAAATTTTTTCATCATATGACTTTTTTTTTTTTTTTTTTTTTTTTTTGTGTGTCAGGGAGGGGGGGGGGCACGAAAAAGATATTTTGCCCCAGGTGCCAGTTAGGCTCGCTACTCCACTATTAGTAATGACTTTATTTATTGAAATAATTATTGTTTTAACTTATACTGATGTTCATTCCAAGTAAAAATTTATTATTATTATTATGTAGTTGTAAATTTAAATGAAAACTATTAACTTTTCTAGTTTTCAGATATTTTATTTTAATGCATGTCAACTAAAAAATTTTAAAAATTGCTCTTTTTCGTAAGTGGAAACAGTATGTTTTACATTTTGAGTTTAATGTAAGATACCTGGCAAACATATAATGGTCAGTATATGGCATTTTTCTATGACTTACTGAGATAGCTGTACCAAGACAAACCATATAATTACAGTCTGTATACTAGCCTATAATTCATGTCATTCAAACATTGTTTTATAGCAGACACAAAAGCCATTAGTTCCGCAGAAACCATTGTTATGTTTTCCTTTGTTCTATTTAAAGGTAATGATGATTTGGTTTAGATCAATCTTCATTTTATCTAGAAGATACAAGTAACTTATAATGACCTTTAAAATGTTCGAGAATGAGACATTTTTTTAAAGAAGATAGTTTTCTGGCTTTACATTAAACATTCACTTATTCTGAAGTAGCTAGGTGTTGCCAAAATTAGTGTAGGACAACAAAGTTTTGTTAATGAAAAAATATTATTTTATTTGAAACATCCGGTAATTCATTTTCAGTTGACGAAAATGCTATAAAATTGTTGATGCTTTTGGAAGCATTCATTGTTGATCAATTCATTTCCCATGCAAGTTTAATCGTTTCTGTGCCATGGCTTGCATTGAACTGCTTCCAAAATTCAGTTAGCATATTGTGTTATTCTTCGTCTACGGCTTTATTTGCAGAGGTAGAAACATTTCTGATATACTAGGCTTAGAATTTTTTTTATGATAACTTGATCTAGTGTTGGAGTAAAGAAGAGCTATCAGGAGCAGGGAATGAAGCCTTTACATTGAGATCCAATGTTATGTTCTAATGTACTGCAGTTATGACATTATCACTGTTAATCACTGAAGCAAAAAATCTAATTTCATTGTTTCTCATATCTAGTTGAGGAGTCCTTCTGATCTCAGTTTAAACATGGACACTACTCGACAACGAGACCTCATTGCTCAACTAGAGGCAAAAAATAGGTAAAATTTAAATATCCATTACAAAGTAATAAGACTTTTTTCAAAATTTACTACTATGTTTGGTGTTTCTTGTGATATACCTTTAAAAACTCAGTTGTGTTTTAGGGAAATAATGAGAGAAATAGTAAGGCTAAGGAAGCAGCAAGAGCAAGAAGATGCTGCCATGCAGAATGAACAAAACCCAACACTTTTGGCTGAGTTAAGAGCTCTGAGGCAAAGGAAAGAAGAATTAGAAAGCCATTTATCTACCCTCCAAGAGAGTAGAAGGGAGCTTATGGTCCAGTTAGAAGCTCTGATGAAAATGCTCAAAGTATTCATGCATTCTATGTTTTGTGTGCCCTTTAATATTGTAATGAAATAGTTTTATTTATTTATTAGTTGGATGTGTGTGGATATTTTCCTTAACTGTTCAGCTTTCATACAATCTTGATCCTGATATAATTAGTAAAGGTCGAAGTTTCTCAGTATAATATCTTAAGACAGGATAGGAATAAATGTACTGTTTTCATCTTTTTGTTCCAAACTAGAAAATTAAATTAAATAAGATATAAAAATAAGAATTAAAATCAGAAATGCTGTTTTTGATTTTTAATATTTATTGGTATTTTAATTACATATGTGTAATAATTTAACCACACCTGAAATCAGTATATAATAGTACATTGTATTGCATTATGATAATTTGTCAACAGTTTAAAAAATCGTTATGTATCAGAATTATTGTAAATGACTTAAAAACCACCAAAATAAAATAAAATACTTTCCGGGAAAGCAGAAAAGTGTGATGAAACATTTTTCATATTATTCTTGAAATACTTTGCATGAATTGATGTATACTTTTTTCTAATAGTTGAAGCAGATTTGATAATGAATTGGACTTCTTTTAAACACAGCAAAAAAAAGTGTAAATACAGTATGAATAGTAACAAAGTTTTTCACTAGAAAATGCAATAATTTTCATTCCCCCCCCCACACACACATTTAGCAGCTGAAGAAGGTAGTTCAAAAACTATCGAAACTAGTACTGCAAAAATTTTTCTTAATTTACTCTGATTCTTGATGTCTTGATGTTGGACTTTGTTTTTGATTGTTATTGAGCATGATATTTAAACTGAATTCAGTTGGCTATTAGCATTATAATCTCAGGGCAGGGAATAAATAAATAAAGCCTTTAATAATAAACATGCATTATATCTAAATTAACTTCATTTTAGAAATATATGTTTTATAGTAAAATTATGCAGTTTCTGCCATTTAAAACGAAAAGAGTAAAATAGCGTGTAAATAAATGTTACTATATAATTATCTATACTCCTGATTTTACTTTAGGTAGAATTGGAGTATTACTGGCATATTTTTAGTATGCATGCCACAATTGGACCCATGAAGACATGTGCTACGTAGAACAAAACAATACTTAGCCATAAAAGTAGCCACACAAATAGTTTTCATCAATTTTTGCAAAGCTGCGATTCATGGGTCTGGGGATAATTAGAAAGTACCCAGTACTATTTAACAGACTTTCTTGCTTGTAATGAGTTTCTACGATGAAAGAAGTCTCATGCAATAATATGCAATATAAATAACAATTAAATTATTTTAGCAACTAAAATATTGGCAGTTGTAACTAAAAGAAAATAGTGATAACAAGCTAAATTTCTACATCTTACTACTAGATGTAATAATTTATTTCAAAATGCAGAACCATTAATTATGTGCAGATTATCAGTATTTCCAGAATCCTATTATCAAAAGATATTTATGTAGTTTAAAATCTCTCCAGAACTAACTACAGAAAATATAAATTAAATTTCACTGAGAAGTCATTAAGATCAGCCAGATTTCTTTATGCTTTAGTTTTAATGTGTGGTGTAGGTTATTGCAGCATGGCAAGTTAAGCAGAGCAATTAAAAGCAACTAAAATTGTTCCCAGTTTAGTTTAATAAAGTCGTGTATTTTTTAATATCAAGCGATGGAAATCAGAAATTTTAACAACTTTTAAAAATTCCCATTTGTGGGATTCAAATAAAATCTGGTCCTTTTTGTGATCAAATAGGTCCTTGATCATATCATCTGAAAAGTTCATCATCTGAAAAGTTCTCTGAGAGTAGTGCTTGTAAGGCAGTTTTATTTGAAATAGAAAAATTTTTTTAAAAATATTATCTTGCCACCATTGAAGATAATATTTCATTGGAGTACCACATTGCTGGCATTCCTGGAATTCTTGGAAGCACTGGGAGAATCCTCTTTTAGTGTCTGTATTACTGTCTGACTGTTGCAACATCACAGAGAATTTGAATTGTCAGAAAAAATTGACTCTGTAACCCATCTTGATCAAAGATGCATCAAAAAGCAACCAGAAATTCACAGACCTGTTTCAATTTTCTCAAAATAGTATGTGGAGCTGCTTTCCTTTGATCATCCATCAGAACTCACAGCTTTGATCACACACATTGCATTTTCAATGAACTACCTTAACAACTTGTTAAATCGATGCTTCTACAAAGGATGATGTCCTTAAAACAGCTTCCAGAACTTCTGCTGACTCTGTAGCTCCTTTTGTGTTTAAACATTTTTTTATTTGCTCTTTGTTTAAAATATCATATTGCACCATATGACTGATGCTTTTATCCTGTTTGCACTATACGAACTACACTGTTCTAAAAGAAGTTACTTCATATGCTTCTGTAGAGAGAACTAAAAATCTTTTGGTGGCCAAATTCGTGTATTTTAATTTTTACTCACATGATTTAACCTTTTGAATGTAGACCAAAACCTTTGAATCATAGCTGTATCTTAATAATAACACATGTGGCCTTAATAATTAACCATTTTTCTATTAATTATTCTCTTTGAAATTCTTTATTGCATTACTTCAACTTTTAACATCATAAATAATATAAATATTAGTTAGCTTGCAAACATTATTTGAGAAATTTTGTTATTTAATTAAATTGTATTCAGTGTGATCCTTGAAATTTTGATATTTGTGTGGTGGGATGTTTATTTGAAGCATGAAATTGTTTTCTACCCATCTCTTTTGCTGATGATGATTTTGTTTCTCCTTTCAAAATTGTCATAGCGTAATGTGAATGTTTTAAAAAATCTGAAATATCAATTTCATTTTTAATTGTTTCAATGTGTTCTGCTTTTATTCTTTTAACTCCCAGAGTAGCATGACCCCCTTTATCTGATCAGGAGATTGTTTTGTAGCTTGGTATATATTAGCTTATAATTTAAAATATTTTGTTTTCTTACTTTCTGTAATGATGTATCATCTTAATGAATGAATGGATGTTTATGAAAACAGACCAAAATAAGTAATTATACAAATTTAGCTAATAAATGCTTTTAAAATATAGGCCTTCATGAGCAGATTTAAAAAGCCATACTACTTAATTATTGTTAATATTTGTATATAATGTGAATGTTAATATTTGTTTCAGTGGCTTTTAACTTGAACTGGGAAGCTATCGTATTTTATTTTAACTAATTTAAAAGTCATTAACATTATATCTTCTTCAAATATAATAATTTTAATAGAAAAGGTGTATTGTGCTGTAATATGTTATAAAAAGTGGGAATTTTTTTTAAAAATATGTTAATCCAGAATTTGTCCAATTTTAGAAAATTACTTAAATGTAATAGAATCTTACTTTCTTAACACTGTTATATTAACAAATAAATTTTTGTCTGTATTAACTGAATTACTTAACTAAGTAAGTTTACCTACTAAATAGCATTATAGTCCTTTCTTGTCTCTCATGGCTAGTAAGTTTTTATTAAATTAAATGGGTTCTAGCCATGAGAGCTGTAACTTTCTCTTGCTTATCTATAATACTTTATGCGGTAGATTATTAGTATGCTTTTTATTAATTTTATTCTTTAAATTTATTTTTTCATGTATTTTAAGCAAAATGGTGATTTTAGTTGAGCTGAAAAGTATTTTTTCTGTCTAGAATCATCAGACATCTCCTCGGTCCACACCAAACAGCTCCCCTCGCTCTGCTACATCCAAATCACCACCTTTATCTACACCTTACCCTCTGTCTTCTTCACGCAGTGCTCCTACAACTCCTGGGAGTAATCCACCAACCTCTGAAAGTGCTACTGGTGCTCCTAATAATGTCATAATGGCATATGACCAGTCAGGAAGCACTAGGAGTCTTCGGAATGATTTGCTGGTAGCTGCAGATTCTGTAACGAATGCTATGTCTTCGCTGGTTAGGGAACTAAATTCAGGTATTTTTTCTCATAATTTTTTTGTGAAAACAGTGTGCAGTGTTTTTGAATTTGCTGCCCAGACAGTATAGTGGTAAGGGGAGCCTACCTCTGTACTGAAGGGCCCAGGTTCCAATCCCGAAGAAGGCATAGCTGTAACTGTCCATCCCCTTCATAGGCAGCAACAGTTGCTGCCAATTAGGTATCTCCATAATAAAATGGCCATTACATTTGCCCTTTGGAGTGGTCACTGCTGAATAGGCAAGTGCCTGCCATTGGATTAAAAAAAGCGTTTTAAAGTTTGAAAGTGTATTTTTATATTTTGCTGATTTCATAATTCTAATTTATTAAAATACATTGTAATCTGCTCCAATGCAGTATGTAGCGTTGCATGCCTCCAACTTGCACGCAACCAAGAGGTGACTGTTGAGACTGGATAAAAGACAGAGTCTTGTTAAGGGTTTAAGTCCCTTTTTATTCAACGTAATAAATTACAAGTGCGTGCTCTTGACGCTCACAACTCGGCGGTCAAATAAAAATAATAACCTGAAAAGAAACTAAAGACAAGACTCTAACTACGAGGCTCTCTAAAAGTAACTAACCTCACCGCGTTTTACAATACCGCTGCTAATTCAGCTAACTTGAAGATCACATTGAACGATTAACAATACTTCCAGGCAAGCACACGGCCAAAACACGGGGTTCCTCAATTTCTGGCTAACTACCTCCGCGCTCGTGAAGTAAGAACAGCACACCTTGAACTCGTTTCCTTTCTATTTAACTCAGAATACTTCCGCTGATAATTTGAATCCTTGCGCGTTCTACTGAAATTTACATACTCTGGCATTGGCAGTTCCAGGGGAAAGTAAGGCTTGACAGGAAAGGTAGTTTAAACTTAAAATAAATGTTAGTTAAAATAAATATAAACCCTACAAGTATATAAAAATATTATGATTCATAGTTATTATACAAGTTTTATCATCTAATAGGAAATAGCAAAATGTCTTCTATGATATGCTAACATGCCATGTTTTGATTCGAAGTTCCCACCAAACAGATTTATATATTTCTGAAAAACATTGTTTAGCTGTCATTTTATGAATAAAATAAAACATTATCACACAGTTATCCTCATCACTGTTAGTTAAATGTTTGGGTAAATTTTGCTTTTCTATTGAAAGTCACAGAAAAAGTGCTGATAAGGCAAAACAGTGTCTCAAGATATATTTATATGGCAATCTATAACATCATTAATAAGTATTTGTATAGCAACTCCAGTATGCTCATAGCATGTCCAAAAGGTATTTCATTTCTCTTGACGTTTTGCCAGTGTGACTGCAGATTATGTTCTATAGGAGTTTTACCATTTTGGCATGGCTGCAAACCTCATACTACAATTTTTATTATCTTTGGCGAAATCAAACTTAGCTCTTTGTTCACCCACAATGTAAAATGTTATATGCCTTCTTTTTCCTTCTCATTTTAGGATTTGGTGATGAAATCCCCCCCCCCCTTTTTTTTTTTTTTTTTTTTTTGTTTAAGTGAAAACAGATGTGTGTGTACATAAGAACAACACTGGAAAAAATCAAGAATTTTGTATGTCTTGTGTGTAAAAAGAAGAATGTAAAACATTAAGTGGCATTAGATGTGTCATAGAAATAGTAAAGATACTCCCTAAAGATGTTTTTTGTGGGACTGCAGATAATCAGGGACTACTAATGTTATGTTGCAATTATATAAAATAAGGGTATTGGGATATAAAAATAAGAGTATTATCAAAAATTATAATATTACCAATATTTTGGCATATCATTGTTTAGAAAGGCATACTAGCAGCATATGATAAGCATTTAAAAAAAAAAAAAAACGAGTTAACATGTTAAATATTTGGGACTTTGAAATTATCCCATATTGGGAAATGATAGAAGAAATAATGTTGCTAGAAATGCTCTGCAGCATGTTACATAGATTACATGATATAAATCAACAAGAAAAAAACTCCAGATAGCAGTTAGAGTGGGATAACTCATTTATATGCGATGTATTTCAATTTTTCAAATTTGGCAATAAATATTCAAAGCTTTTTAGAAATACAAATAATGACAGAAATATATTTATAATTTTAAATGATTCATGATTTTATTTTGAGCAAATATGTTATCATTTTGATAAATAGTTAAGTTTTGTGATTAGAAATTTATTGATTTCATGTGTACATAATAAGTTCAAATTCTCAATGAAATGTCCTAATTATATGCAAGTTTTAGAGAGCACTTTGAAATTAAAAAAAAAAAAGAAAGAAAGAAAGAAAGAAAGAAAAGAAAGGGGGAACATAAATGTTAGCAACTGTCTATGAAAATATGATTATCTCTGTATAAATAGAGAATAGAATTGATGTTAAACTCATAGAGATACTTTCCCAACTTCACTGCCCATATCATAATGGTAGCAAGATTATAATACTGCTCATTTTTACTTTTCTCGCAGCGCTTAATTGATATCAATTCCTCTCTGCAGCAGTAAATAAATTGTGGTGCTCTTACAAAAGGATATAAACCGTCATATGAGTTGTCAGAACATATGCTTTTCTTTTGCTTGTGACCTTCCCCACTTTAAAATCCTTGTGTCATTTACATATGTCATTTCATGGCCGTTCCGTTTTTGCATATTTGAATGCACAGTAAAATGGTTCTGTCTTAAAATGATGTAACATCTTCCCCAATCATTGGTAAATCAAAAATTGCTAACATTTAATTTTTTTTAAGAAAATATATTACAATGTGTTTTACTGAGATTTCTTATTTTCATTAGTCACCAGTAAATAAAAAATTGTGAGCATATTTTTTTAAAAAAAAGAACGCATTAACACATGGCCTGCTGATATTTTTTTTTTTTTTTTTTTTTTTGATGGATAAAGTAATCTGCGGATAGTTGTTTGTGTAAACATTAGTTGAACTTTTAAACATAAAAATCATAAATAATGATAAATGCAACAAAATTCATTAAAATTACATCTAAAATAACACTGCACAGAGCAGTAATCATTACAGAACTGCAATACATATCTTAAAAAATTAATTCAAAGCAGATCTGCTCTTCTTCTCTTTTTTCCCCCCTTATCATGTCAAAAGTTTACTCCTGCAGTGGCTAAAAAAAAGCAACACTCTTTAATTTTTTCCTAGGCAAAAAAAGAGTCATAAAATTGCCTGAGATTTTTCTCTCTCTCTTTCTTTCATGATTCCTTTCTTTTCCTTTTTGCAGGGCCCACCAGCGGCCGAGCGGTAAAATCGCTGAACACTGGTAGTTCAGTCCGAGGTTCGAATCCCGCGAATGGGCTGGCTGCATGGGCGTTTCCGTGGTTTTCCCCATGTGTAATGTGTATACAAGCCAGTTTCCCTTAGAAAGTCCTCCACGAAGGCATCCCTTCCCTTATACAGATAGCCCTAGTGTGCTTTGCTATATTCTCAATACACCATTTTCTTTTTGCAGTTCATTTGAATATTGACATTATTGCTAGAGAATTTCAGTTTTGTGAAGCATGTGTTGATGATTATTTGCAGGATGTTTTATCATTCTGGATAATACAGGAGCAACAAATAAGAATGCTAGACCAGTAATTGGAAAGTTTTATTTAAAGAGAATTCCAGAATTTAAAAATAGTAAACAACATCAAAAGGCATATGGAAAAAATAATCCAAAAAGAAACAGGATTATTGTGTAAATTAAATTACAGTTGTTACAATTTTAAATGAATATTGACAAGCTCTCATTGGACGATTAAAACTTGGCCGGTCTCCTGACATTTTAGATAATAATACTTTTCAGCAAAATTTTATGTAGCAATTAAAAATATTGAAAGAAACATTATGTCTCTTTGAAAATCCATGCCATTCAGAAGATGTCAGATTTTCACACTATTCAATTAAAATGTCGCCAGCTCTTCACAAGGACTAGTTAGTTTTCTCCTGTTCCCATTGCTACTATTTGTATGTAGGTGGCCATAAGATAAAAGAAATTTTGATTTTCTTATGATTATTTCAACTGATATTACCTTTAGTGATGCATGAATGTGCTCTTGTGATGAATGGGAGAACTCGGAGGAAAATCCCCTACTGCAGTAACTCAAAGGTTAAACTGTAAAGAAATACAAAGAAATACTGTATCACAGTTTTGTGGTCTTCACCACCTGATGAGAGTATTGTACCAGTGTTTAAAGTTCATGAACAGAGAAATGCAGAATGGAGTTGCTCATTTCTCAGAGTAGTTCTTTTCTATCCCTGTGGTTATGCTTCATATATCTGAGCCACTAAAATCATCAAACATGATAACATTTTATTTATTCACTTATTTATTTTTACATTAGTAAACGATTTGTAGTGTAATATGTATAATGTAAGTGTTTATTAATTTTCTTTGATAATATCAGATCACCAAGCTGAGTATGCTTTAACTACAGACAATTAGTAATCACTCGCTAATATGTTGTAATAAATGGTATCCAATTAGTGTTTTTAAACAAAACTATAAACAAATAAAAAAAACAAATAAAAAAAAACAAATAAAAAAAACTCAAACAATTCAAAGCCTGCCAGAAATGAAATGCTGAAAAATATTTAGTATAATTATAAATTCATGACATTAATTTATTTGCCATTAATACTCAAACCTTTGTTTGTGTGGCAGATAGGGACCGCATAAAAAAGAGTAAAAAAAATTGCACAAAACTTCACGAGTAGCTATAAAAAATAGCTTTTGCAACGCGTTTTTATTTTTATTTTATTTTATGCGGTAAGTAGGGACCGCATGAAAAAACGTAGGAAATAACTCAAAACCTTACAAAATAATTAGGAATTACTTTTTTAAACGAAATCAAGACATGAGGCTTGGCAGCTACTTGGAATCTTACCAAACCTTTTAGAATCTGATTTAGAAAATACACATGCGAACATTTTTTAATAATTTATTTACATATGTACTTATTTTACACATACAAAACTTTTCAAAATGTATAACAATTATCTTTCGTAATCTGACAATACACGAAATTGCTTGCGGTAAACTGATTCAAATTTGCTTTCTTCAACCGAAGATACCACCTCACACTCATTTAGAGTTGACTTTTTTCGGTTATCACGTAGTCAGTGAACAGTTTTTGTGGCGACTGTTGTTTTACAAGACATTTGTATATGTATCAGTAGCCAGATATACAAGATTAAAGCTCCCCCCCTTTTTTTTTTGATTATTTATTTATTTGTTTTATTATTGGTAACTTCCTCAATTGTGTTCCAATTTGATTCAAATTTTCATATACTGCACCAAAACAAATCTTTACAAAAAAGACCATACAAAAACAGGTTTGAATGTAATTCTTATTTATAAATACTAGATCTTAAAGGAGAATGGGCTTGTGCTACCTATTAATAGTTGGAGCTTTTTGCCAATTCACCATTGTCAGATTTTCTTTCATCTTTGTGCTTCTGTTTTTAAAAGGCCATCTATAACTTTTAATTTATGGAGTTTAAGCATGTTCTGTTTAGTGTTTTGGTGTAAAAGTTTTCTGCTTCTGTGCTTTTCCCTCTTATATATGATTTATAAATTGCCTTTCTATTGACCAAACTATCAGAAATAAAATATGTACCATGCAAAATGTCTTCATAATGATGGCATGTTTGAAAACCAAATTGATCCTTTTTCATGTTTACAATTTCTTGAGAAAGCATGATAATTATTAATAAGAGATTACATCAATTCTGTGATTCTTTCTTTATCGGTGATAATTGTAATCCTTTAGTTAATGAACAGATAAAATTAGAATTTCATTTCTGACTAATTATATATTTATTTATTGTTATGGAATTTCATTCAGCTTTTGTATTTAAAAAAGAAAACATGAATTATGCATTACTTTTATTTTTTGAACTAAAATTGATTTCAGCTAGCAGTTTTTAATTTACAAATAAATAATTTTTAATTTATTTAAGTTTTCTACATTATTATTTATAAAATTCACTTTGAAAACAAGTAAAATAATCTATGTTTCTCGTAGGATCGGAAGATGAAGATGGTGGCAATGACAGCAAAGTTTTAAGTAGTAGTCGAGGTAATTAAAATATATATTTTTTATATATAGCTCATAAAGTATATCAATAAAAATGTATCAGTGTGAATTTAATGGTAAATCAGCTGTAGCAAAATATATATATATTGAAGAAAGTGTGTGCAACTCTCAATGATTAATTTATCTAGCCCTTTAGCATAGGGAAAATGTATAATCAACAACAAATGATTTTCTTGTGATAAATGTGGTATTGAATATTTTTAAAAGTTATTAACCAGTCTTTAAAAATTAATTAGATTATAAAAATAGAATTATTATAATAGTAATAACTTTTATTTCAAATCACAAAATATTCTTGAAAGCACATAAGATCTAAATCCGATTACTAATTAAAGCATGAAAAGGCATATTCAGGTAGTGAGTCTCTGTAACGTCTCAAACTTGATATGGCCTGGAATTATGCTTGCGAAAATCTTGCATTAATCCATCAGCACTTTTCTTTTATACATATAATTTTGATTGCACATTGTATAACCTTTTTTATTTTGTTTTGTTCAGCTCTCTGTAGTTTTTACCAATTTAAATCAAGAAAAAATTAATCAGTGTAAGAAGAAAATAATAATAATGTAAGGTTGCATACAAAATCAAGGAAATAATTGAAATCATCGGGAAGTTAATTTTTTAATTAAAATTAAATTAGCATTATGCTCTAATAAATAATAAATATTAAACAATTATGTGCAGAGTTTACTTAGCATACAATAAAAGTTTCTAAAACTCTTAAATTATCAGTAAAACTGTATCTTCTGAATTTTAGATTACTTTATAATGGCTGAATTTTTATCTTTGCTGATACTGGTATGGTTAATATCATGTTTAAAATAAAATTCTGGTTTGAGATTTTGAAACAGAAGACACTGAAAGTGCTGTTGAGAGTTTGGAAGGTGGAGGAACACTCTGGCGGGAAGAAAGGCAAAGAGCCCAAGAAAATCATTTCCTACAAGAAATTCACGCTCGGAACAATTCATCAACTTCTGGGCACCATAATGACAACACTATTCAGGAGGAAGATGATCAAGAGCTTTATGATAACGATCCAAGGGTAAGAATTTTTTTCATTAGAACCAAATTAATCTAGTTTGTATTACCATTAAGGATTTGAGGTATCTTAATTTTAAAAATGATAGTACTAGTTAAAAGAATATAACAATTTAACTCATGCAGTGTGATCATTGCTGTACTATGGGGGAGCAGTGTCGCCAGATCATGCTATTTTTTTGCAAATTTGTTCTTTTAAGAAACTTTTGCAATTAAAATTTATGTGTATGTGATTTTGCAAAACATTTGCTGCTCTGTCATTTCCTTGTGCTATTTTTTGTAACTTCAATTTTTTTTTTAATAGATCATGAAACACTTAGGTTAAAATAATGTATCTGATAAAACAAATTTATAATAAATAAATAAAAAACTTATTTAGGCTTAAATAGAAGTTTTCATCTGGTTTGAGATCATAGAGAAGGTGTGAACAGTTCTCAGTGCCAGTGGTTTGTGTTTTCATGTGCTTAAGTGATTAATAGTTTAATCTTTAAAGTTTGCTATTAAATGGTGCAGCTGTAAGAAGGGTATTTTCAACTAAAATCAAACATCGAAACAGATTGTGTTTTGAACTCCTAGACTCTATACTTTGAATGGAAATATCACTGGAGCATTGAATTTTTTCTTATTAAAATTCTGGAAAAAAAAAAAAAAAAGCAGTTTGTAGCCTGAAGGCCATATATTGGTTACTCAAACAGAGAAAGAAATGTAGAATTTGACTTAATTCACAGCATGAGAGCACGAAGTAATATTTAAATGGTTTATTTAATAGGAAGAAATAAAAGTAATTAAGAAAAGTATATAAAGATGAAGTTAACGGTATGCAGGATTAACATAATGATGTAAAGGCATAACATCGAAAGCACAATCTAAGTTCATAAACTCTTGAAGACGTGTGAGCCGTCTGCTCACGTCTGCCCTCCACTCTCGACCAGGTTCAGCTCAGCGCTGTCTGGGATGATTCTTACTGCTGGGTGATGCTATACTGATGACGTCATAATCCTGCTATTCTAATTCAGCATTGTCGTCGATGATTTCCCACAGCTTCGGCCAGCCTGAAGAGGCATCGTCCTCGATGTCTGTTGAGTGGACGTCAGTATCATGATGATATACCTGCAAAGATAATAAAATAAAAGAAAAAAAAAAGAGAGTATCAGGTCCTTAGGTTTGAGCTGATACAAACATTAAATCAATTTGACCAGGGCTTTCATATGGTCAGCCGCAGTAGATGTCAAATTGGTCCTTCATGGACATCCTACTTTTCTCGCAACTTCATATCTATCATTTGATCGAACAGCTATGATTTTATTATGATTTTATACGGTCCATGAAACTTAGGTCGTAGTTTCAAACCAGTCCCATATTGAGTTCTCTGAATGGCTACCAAGTCGCCAATCTTGTATAGTTTCGGTTTCTTTTTCTTACGTTTCTTGTTAAATTGTTTTCGATTCTCTTCTTGTATCTTCAAAATGTTGTTTTTCGCATCTTCTCTCATTTCATCACGTTCTTGCATCAATTGCTTTAGATATTCTTCATTCAATATCTCACTAATTCTCAAATCTTCTTTATTCTTCATTTTCATACCTATGAGAAGCTCAAACGGTGAATATTTTGTACTTCTCGTAGTTGTACTGTTGATTATCCTCTGGACATCTGAAACATACTTAAACCATTTCGTTGAATCTTCATGTGATAATTTTGACAAAACAGGAATCAAAATCCTATGAATTCGCTCAATTTGTCCGTTACCTCTTGGAATACCGGTAGTAAATTTGACATGTTCTATTCCCTTCTTCAGTACAATAAGCTGAAAATTCTTTCGATGTAAAGGCACTACCTCGATCTGAAATGATTCTGGCTGGATTTCCAAATACAGTCTGTTGTTGCTTCAATTTTGAAATAACTTCTTGTGTAGTTGGTGATTTCACTGGTTAGAACCAAGTAAATTTCGTAAAAGCGTCGACAACAGTTAGAATGTGTTGGTATCTCTTGTTCGTCGATGGAAGAGGGTCCAATAAAGTCGATATGATACGTACTCAAGGGAACGTTTTCTTTTGGTACAGGATGAAGAAATCCTTCTGCTTTTCCTTGCTTCTTGTTGTACAGTATACATTCTATACAGTTAGCAATTACCTTTTTCAACTTTGCATTTCAGTCTGGGAATATAGAATTCTTGCTCTACAGCATTCACAGTTTTATCTACAGCAAAGTGACCTTTTGTATGTACCTTCTGTATGATTTCGTTCTGTAAGGATTCTGGCACTACTAGAAGATCTTTATCATTTTCAAATTTGTACAAAATATCATTTCTCACTAAGAATCCATTTTCTTCTCCCTTCTCAACTAAATTCTTGATTAACTTCACATGTTCATCTTCATTCTGTTGTTGTACTAACCGAATCTTCTCAGTTACATCGGATGTGTATGATGTTAAAATTAAAGCATTTCTACTTAAAGCATCAGCATGTTTCATTTGGCTTCCTGAACGATGTACAATTTCGTAATCGAATTTTTCAATAAACATTGCCCATCTCGCAATTTTAGGAGTTAAATCTTTCTTATCTAAAGTTTTCTGAAAAGCGCTACAATCAGTTACAATTTTGAATTTAGTCCCTAACAAATAGTTTTGAAATTTCTTCAGAGCTTCTATTAGGCAAGGCAGGCTATTAGGCTTACTGGAAGGGCTTCTAATTCGTAATTACAGAGTTTCTCTTGCTGCTGTGAAGTCTTCTTACTCATATACTGGATTGGATGATAATTACCATCATCAGACAATTGGAGTAATACCGCACCAAAGCCTTGACTACTAGCATCAGTATGAAGTTCTAATGGATATCCTTGCCTAAATATATGTAGAACAGGTGCCTGAGAGAGAATTTCTTTTAATCTGCAAAAAGCTTCCTGTTGTTCGGAAATCGAACTTAAAACCAATACCTTTTCTAAGCAAGTCGCTAAGAGGTTTAGCTATTTTAGCATACTGAGGAATGAATTTACGAAAATATCCCATTAGTCCTAAAAAGCTTTGTAGTTGTTTACAGTTACGCGGTTGTGGAAAGTTTCGAACAGCAATGGTTTTGGAAGTGATGGTCGAATAGTTCCGTTTTCAATTACATGTCCCAAAAATTCAATTTTACATTTTAAGAATTGGCACTTTTTGAAATTTATTTGTAACCCATACTCCGAAGCAGTTTTGAATACTCTTTCTAATTTGTCTAAACATTCAACTTCATCATTAGCCGGTATGACTATATCATCCATATAAATAATTAGTACACCTTCATTTAACAAGTCACGAAATACTGAATAATAAATGTACCTTTGAAAAACATTTGGACTAATACATAAACCAAAAGGAGCTTTAAGAAATTCGTAGATACCATTATGTGTTACAAATGCGGTATATTTTGGTGCAATTTTCGTCTATGTCTACATGGAAAAAGCCATTTTTTCAAATCTAGTGTCATGAAGACTTTGGACTGTTCTAAGCGATCAAGTACTTCCGGAATTAAAGGCAGTGGAAATTTGTCTTTAATAATCTTCTTATTCAATTCCGATAATCTATACATAAACGTTTCGAATTATTACGCTTGTTACACAAAACAATAGCCGCCGAATAATTAGAATTGCTAGGCTTTATATGCCCCTCTTTCAAACCATTCCTTAATTTGATCGTCAACAATTTTTGTTCCGAAAGAATGTATCTTCTATTTTGACAGAACAGGAATGTCATCGCATAAATTTATTTGCATCTTGAAGTCAGATTGTCTATTTTTCCGAGGGCTGGTACGAATTAATTAAATTACACAGTCTTTCTTTATGTCTGTATTGAAATATGCGATAAAAATCAATCTCGTTGACAGAGAAATAGCATTCCACCAGATGTGAAAGGTAATTAACGTCGCGCTACTTCCGCTTTGGGGACTTTTTGTTTACATTAACAGAGACGCCAGACGATTGTGAAGGATCATAAACATTCTTCAATGAGATAGCAATATTCAAATTTCCCATAACGCAACGAACATTTAGAATTTCGATATGACTCAGCAGTTTATCAGGTTTACATTACTTTTATTCCGATGAGAAATATTTTGAAGGCCATTCTCGGTAAAAGAGGAGTTAAACTGACTCAATACATCCAAACCTAATACAATTTGATTACATAATGACTTAACAACATAAATTTTCGTACGCAGTGAAAAACTATCAATTGAAATATCAGAAATGAAAAAGCCGATGGGGTACATTTGCTTTGATTCAATTCCGTTTAATGTGATATCGCTACAATTTAAATTAGGAGAACCAATCTGCTTGTGTAACTCTACGCTGCATATCGTTACATCTGAACCAGTGTCAACTAAACTATCAACTAAATGATTATTTATTTCTACAGTCTTCATAATTCTATCCTTGTCACAAATTCGTTGTAATAAAGCTGCTTGTTGTGTCTCGGGGGTCTGCTCTGGACAGTTCGTTGAATAATGCCCGAACTTCTTACATTTTATACATTTTTACACCCTTTGATTTGTTTACACAATGTTTTGAATAATGCCCAAATTCCTGGCAATTAAACATTTGACCTTATTAACGTTAGATTGATTTCGGTTTGATGACGAAAGCTTACTTCTATCTTTAACTTTGAGTGTCTACTTTCGGTTTCGGATTTTAAACTTATCATTGTCCGATCTCATTTTATCATAAATTTTTAAGCCTTTGTTTAAATTCAGATATTGTTCACAAACCATACAGTATAGTTTTTCTAACCACAGAATCGGGAATACCATCAATAACATATTTTAATTAATGAAGCATCTTCAATGTTACCTCGCGAACACATTTCTTTCATTTTCAAAAAATACTCATCTAAAGATTCATTAGGCATTAATTTACGTTTACATAACATTTCATGCAACTCAGCAGAATTAAAAGCTTTACCATATTCAGATTTCAAAAGCTGTTTTAACTTACACCAGTCATTAACTTTAGGTTCACTCTGAATAAATAGTTTCG